AATAATATCTACAAAGTTTACAAATTGCCTTTTGTAAGGATTAAAAAACAAGAAAAAAAAAATGTTTGTTTGGAAGTTTAACAGAATTTTTCTTTAGCTTTTTTCTAGTTTAAAAATTTCAAGAAAATTTTAATCCACCAATCAAAATTCTTTACTTGGAAATTGATTTTAAAATTCATAAATTCAGTTTTCTAGAGATTAGCATGTTAATTTTTCTATGTATCGATCTGTTTTGCAAACATCTTTACACTCACTCCATTGAATAGCATAGGGATAAATTCGACATGAAGAGGTTAATCAACGATACAGCATACTAAGAGAGAGTTAATATAGACTTGTATATTAGAATTCAAGTGATAATTAGACAGAAATAGCCGATTAAAATTTGTTAATTAGAATTTTATCTTAAGAGGGATTAACAAATTACATCTGTTAGTTCAATTATTGATTATGTTTGATTACATCCTATACAATTTAATTTATTTTTAAAAGTATAATAAATTCACTTTATAAAATTTCATTTTAAAATAAATAATTTCATTGGTTTAATCTTTAATTTCAACTGTTTAAATACATCACCAATGAAATTTTTCTTTAAATAAAATACCTTGTTCAATTAATTTTTTAAAAAATATATTAAATTCACTTTATAAAATTCCATTTTTAATAAATATTTTTATTGTTTTATAACTTATAATTTAAATTATAACTTAATTTCTGTAAGGGGAGGAACATTTTATTGATTATGATTCTTTGATTTTTCTATCTCTTCTAAAGTCTTTAATATTAATTTATTAAAATAAGTAAGAAAAATAATTAAAAAATTGTTTAAATATTTAAAAAAACTTTATAATAAATTTTTTAAATTGAATTTTTATTTAGTTCCTTAAATTTTGATATGTATAGAAGACATTTAAATGTATGAAAACTTAATTCAAATGTCCTTCCTCTCTGCATATTTTGTATAAAATATGAAGTGTAAATTTTTTTATATATAGAGACCTCATAAATATTACTTATAACTATAATAAATCTTCATAATATGATAAAGAATGTTAAGATTAGTATATTTTTCTTACTTTATGGAGTTATAATTAGAATTCATTGTAGATCAAGATACTTAATCTTATATAGATTGATGTCTTGAAGATTAGCTAAAGCTTACATTTGTTCTCATCATCAATAAGTAGATACATTTGTTACTTTACGCATCTATATTTTATTATTTAAAAAAATATTATTAGAAGTATTTGGAAGTAGTTTTCACTCAAACGTCGATTTGGAAACACCGTTTGTTCTCCTCTGAAACTGGCACTAAATCGAGTGTGGCGCTAAGTTGAAGCACTTTAAGCAATAAGAATTTTTTATACTTAATAGTCTGTCAGGTTTGAATTTGAGCGTTGAAAGTCACGCGATTTGTCATTTTTAATATTTAGTAATTCACAGAGGCTGAAGAGTTTCTTATTTAATATTACATAAAGCGCATAAACTTGTATAATATCACATATAGCGCCAGTGTATACTTGTGACAGGATCTTTCTCTTTTGGGAAAAATCCTTTTTTCAATTATATATTAGCGCATTATGAGGATGCTATTTACGAGTTCACTATACTGAGGTTTGACTGTATTTTAATACTAAATAATAGTAGACTACTTTTTAAATTAAATACTACTAATAAAATTAAAGTTGGGAAGTTGAGGTGCTCTCTTTAAGTTACTCGGCGTGGAATTATTTTAAAATATCATAGGATTGGTACTTACTGTATATTATTATTATTTATTTAGTACAAGGTTATTTTATACCCTTTGTATGGGAAACATAGAAAAAAAAAAGAAAATACCGAACAAACATGTCCAAAAACAGAAACAAATACAGTAAATATAATAAATTGTATATCAGCTTCAAATTCGTAGATACAAAATCCAATACATAAAATTCAATAATCATTACGTATACGAAACATCCAATGCATTAGTACAATTTCAATACATAAATAAAATATCCAATACAAAAATATAATTACAAATACATTAATACAAAATCCCATACCTGGTAATCAATACATAATATTCATACAAAATTAACCAGTAAACAAGCTATGACAAACTGTGACGACCTGATGCCATAACAATAGAAATGAACACAAATTATTAAAACTATATATATATATTTATTTATTTAAATACCTATCTCTGATGTAAATTATAACGATTCCATCGTTTACAATGTTGAGAAAAGGATGTGGCGGTGACATGTAAGCTTATCAGTTTAAAAATTGTCAAAGATATCAAAATCAAAACTGAAGGTGTTAGTAAATAGTTTTAAAGATCGATAAAATTACAATCGACAAGAGAATTTTGAGATGTAAACTGTGTGATGTTACCATAAATTTGGATGAAAAGCATCTCTCTTCACGGATTAAGCAACATATTAACTATGCAAAACATATTTCCAAAAAGGAAAGAAATGACGGGCAGAGTTTTGTTTTGGACAATGCAAGCAAGAAGAATGAATTTTTAAGTGAACTGGCTACAGTTTTAATACAGTCGGGGATCGCTCTTAATAAGATTAATTATTCCGCTTTCGAAAACTTCCTAGAAAAGTATACCAAGCACTCAATCCCTGATCAAAGGACGTTAAGGAAAAGCTATGTGCATCCTGCATATGAAGTAAAAAAATGCAGGTAATAGTAGAAAACAACCTAGTCTTTTCTATTGTGGATGAAACAACGGATGTGCTAAAAAGTTACGTGCTGAACATTCTCGTCAGTCCGTTAACAAAGATTACAGAACAAACCATGCTGTTAAGAGTTTACGAATTAAAAAAGACAAATTCCACAACTGTTACTCAGGCCTTCAATGATGCATGGGCTTAATTTTAAAACTCTGTCATTCTGTATGAAAACGTTTGGTTACTTGTAACAGACCAGGCATCATACATGCTAAGTGCCTGCACAAATATAAAGTTGATGTATCTTGAGATATGTCACTTGTATTTTTCATTATTTCAACATCAATTAGGGCAGCATTTTCTGGGCCAATGATTTCATTTCGGAAATTTTGATTAAATGTCTAGCGAATATCTATAAAAAGAGATAACTGATCACTCACAAAACACCCTGCAAAAGCTAGTGGGCAAGTGGATTCGAGTGGCTTGTTTTTATGCCCAAAATTTATCATCTAGGAGCTTTCAATGATAAACCGGACGAAAAGTCTTCAGTGGCCGCAATGAAACTCAAGAGTGCAGTGATACAAGAAGCCATGCGAAAAGAACTTTACACTAAATTTACACAAGTTCTTGTGCAGTTCAATCTTTAGGCTAGAGAGAGACGTTCTATCTGCTAAGATGCATGGGAGATTTCTAAACACGCCAAAAACCAGTTTCAATGGATTTACTCAGAAAAAATGTGAATATTCAAAATATAAAATTCGTGACTCTCTTCACTCACAAAATTTAGAGTCTTTAGTGAAAACTAAATACGCCCCTCTCATACCTGTTGATGTTGAGAGATCGTTTTCGTAGTTCAAAGATTTATTTTCCTCGCATCGTCTGCGGCTGACCATGGAGAATGTAGAAGGACTGCGTGTTTGCAAGTATAATACTTTTCTGTTTGTAAACTGTGAAACTGATGGAAAGATATTTAGAAAATGACTGATTTGAATTTTGTATCACTTTTCCCAGTTTTGCGTATTTTATATATACTAACCAAATATGAAACTTAATTTTTTAAACACTTAATGAACTATCAATACACCTTCTGTTGCTGAGAAATGTTTATTAAACAAAACACTAACGTTTTCAACCTAATACAATAGGCTTTACGTTCGAATTTCAGGTTAACTGAAATTTGAACGTAAAGCCTATTGTATTAGGCTTTACGTTCGAATTTCGACGTATTTTTAAAAATTTAACATTTTAACGACGGAACGTTCGGGCATTTTACATTTAAATTTAAAAACGAAAATATTAGATAAATTAACAAATAAATAATAAAATAAAATGTATTAAATAAACTATAATAATGACAATATAAATTATAATAAAATATATAAAATAAAATACACAAAAAATGCATCCAAGTATTAGGGCAGGTGTGGACTAAGAATTTCTATATTTTAATTTTTCTTTTATGTATAATTTTCATGCAGAAGCCAATCCATCCGCATCATTGGCATTAATACAACCATCCTTTAATTTACTTTTATAGATTTTAATTTTTTCTTCGTGCATTGCTAATGACGGGGAACGCATGGCCCTGAGGATAGTCTATGTATACATCTATTGGCAATAAAATGAAGATTTTACTTTTGTATACTTTTAGGAACACTTTTTTCTGAGAAATTTCGTTACCTTTTAGCTCCCTTTTTAATAGAAAATTTGCTTGTCAATTTCCTAAGTTTAATAATAATACTCGTACTTATTTAAGATTTACTAATCGTATTGTTAATATTATTTAATTTTTCTATTTAACTATATTTTAGAAATTTTATAATTAATTTCTTAAATTGATTTTTAATATTTAGAGACGTTTTCTTAAATTTATTATGAAAATAATACATAATTACTTTTATTTAATTTATTAAAAGTTAATATTTTATTACAAATTTATTAAAAATGTATGCTGGAAGTTTGTTTAAGCATATAAATTTTTAACTGACTTAAATAATAATTAAAGTTTTATAAAAATTTAATTATATTTTACAAATATAGTTTAGTATTTAATGCTTTGACTTAAAAATAAATTAAAATAAAATAAGTAAACAGATAAATAGTTAGCTCAAAAGTCAGTTAGCCGAAATATATTTTAGCATTTTTTAAACAGGTTTGAAACAAGGATAGCCCTGTTAACTGTCTTTTGGGCTACCGTATTCATAAATGCGATTTTATACACATTTGGAATTAAAGATGCCTTCAATTTTCTGGTTATTTATGAAATAAATGTAGAAGAAATTGGAATAGAATTATTCGAAACAAATAATAGAATTGTTATATTTTCAGTTCCTACATCGGTAGAAGTGGGCCAGAACGAAACGTCTGAAGAAGTGAATAAGAAAGTGAACCTAACATGTCAAGGATACGGTTATCCTCAACCATCTATGAACTGGTACAAAGATGGAGAATTATTAGAACCAGAGGAGGGACGTTTAGATATTCAAGTGAATATAACAAATAAAGAACGTCTGTTTGGTACTGTAATGATTCACAATATCGTACGTGAAGACAACGGAACATACGATTGCGAAATCATTAGCAAATATAATACCTCCATAGGATCACAAGACATGTTAGTCCTGGGTAGGTTCTATTTATTTAATTAATTACTAGATTTCAACAGGTGTTGAATTCACGTACGCAAGTGTGTATACATTTGGATATCACACTGGGTTTAATGGGCGTTACCGGAAGTGTAACGTTATGTACGTGACTAGAAATATCGTTTGAATTAGTTTAGAGCATTATTGTAAATTACAATTTCCTTAATAAGTTCAAAATTACGTTATTTCGAAGTTGTTTCAATGTGTTGTAGCTACTGAATAATTATTTAGAAATAAAATTTTTCATTCTAGATTTAATACAATGGTACATATCTTTAATTTAGCTACATAAAGTAAATAAAGATGTAAAGTGTATCTAACTAGATTTTATGGTAGAAAGTTTGTGTTAACAATCACTGTATTAGATTATATCTAACAGAGTGGTTAGATTGTATCTTAACACAGCGGTTCTTACCCTGTGAGGTGTGTCTCCCCAGGGAAGTTGTAAAGAGGATACAAGAGAAGTATGATGTGCTTCCTAGAACATTTTTACAATTGTTTTTTCACTAGATGAAATTCTAACTTGAAAAAGGATAAGAAGTTTAAACATTAAGTTCAATTTCAGGGATAGAGTGAAGGAAAAATATTATGAATCTCTGTTCTAACATATCTAGATCTGCTTTGTACTGTACTGTACATCCATATTCATTCTAAGTAAATTTATATTATCGTATCTACTTGCAATGAACCTTTATAGTTAGACCTAAAGTACTGTGGATATTGTTTAAAGTATACACAATTAAATCTTTAAATTTAATTATGTCTTTTCAATGAAATTCATCCGCTTTCAATCTATAATGTAATTTCAGCAAATGTTGAGAACGTGTAACAAAATCAATACCACAATATCCACAGTTCAGATATATTCAGCACAATTTTGAAATTTATAAGAAAATTTTTAGTAAAGTCTTTTAACGGATTTAAGCGTAAGCATTAATAAATATAAAATTTACTTTTTATAAATCCTATCAGATATAATATAAGGTTTTGAAATTAAGAATCTTTTAGATATGATGGTTAAAAACGAAGAAAATCAGAAAATTTGTGCTACTATTATGGAATTTTATGAAGCTTACTATGACTTATTTCATTATTGTCTAATAAAAAATAAAAAATATATTCAAGAAAATATATAAAACTGTAATTAAATAAATTAACATATTTCTCTATTTTTAATATTCTGTTTGATAATACGCATTAATAATTTCTCATGGAAATCATACATTGCTATCACGTTCTCGACGTTTCTGTGCAGTCATTTAGAGAATCTTTAACAATTTTATCCTCAAACCTCTCCTGAAAATGAACTTGATGTTTATAGTTTCTATCCTTTCCCAAATTATAATTCTATCTAATAAGAAAACAATTGCAAAAAACAGAAAGAAATTTATGAGGGGAAAGTTATACTTTCCCTTTGTATCTTTCCTGAGAAGACACTCGAATATATCTTTTCAGGAAGACCACTATGTAAAATATAATCTAGCATAGATTCTTAAAAGCATTTATTAAAAGCAAAATAACAAATACAATTTTCATGAAACGTTGTATGAAAAGACTTTCGAAGATACAGCGATGTGTTAGTATATAATTTAATTACAATTTTCTTATGTAAACAAGAATAAAATCACGGAGGAAAATGGCAAAATGTCCACAATGATTGTACAAGAACAAATTGAAAACACGATAACAGAACGATTTTCATGAAAAGTTATTAAATCACTAATTATGTATATCGCTGTCTGTAAAATATTCAAAAATAGAGTAATGTGTTAATATAATTATCTAGTGAAAGGCAGAAATTTGTTCATTTTACAGAACTGGATCATTGGAATAATGTGTTAGCCAAGATCCATTATAATCACATTACCCAGAGGCAAAAGAAACTGTTTTATTTCAAACATGACGTCAGACATAATTACTTTAACTACTTACTTTATAATTTGATTAACAATCGCTAGCTTTGGTAATTAAACAATGAGCAGATTAATTATTGAAAAAAATGAAATAAAATAAAATAAATCAACATTTTGAGTCATTGAATAATATTTAATATTACTAAAAATGATTCATTTTCAGCTTTTAAAGATATGCATACTCTGTCTCTGACGTTTCCTTCTACGTCATCTGCGATAATAAATCATTGCTTGGTTGAAGTGTCAGAGTAATCCCCTATCTTAACTCCACAACTTTTGGAGGTGAAAAGTCCAGAAAAGTTCGCAAGTAGAAGAATTTTTCTTGCATTTCTATACATATACATACAAACATGTGAAGGTTTTATAACAATAAACTTCTTAAAACTTTACCCTCCCCTTCTCCCTTTTGCTTAGTATTTAGGTTGAGTTTTAAGTCATCGATCACCCTGCAAACGTTGCTCGTCTTTAATTGTAATTGTCAATTTTGGTACACAGAACCAAACTCATCGTCATCTGGTGAAAACTCATTAACGACTCTCTATAACGGTTAATTGAACAGCTGCCAGGACATGTGACTGGCTTGTCACGTGATTATTCGTTCAAGACGTTAGATGAACGGTCTTTTTTAGTTCTTGTGATGATTATATCAATAATAACGTTGACCGTAAAGATTTTTAGTTAATTGACATAAGATAGTGAATGAAAAGTATTAACTCTTCGCTGGAAATTTGTTTTAAAAAATCATCAAATATTTAAAGGGAAAAATGTGATTTGTTTTAATATTTGTATAATTATTGAATGAGAAATCAAGTTTTAATTATAATACTTAATATAAAATAAAATAATTATTTTATTGATTTTTAATTAATGAAATTGGTTGCTAATCACTAGATAAAGATAGCTTCCATTAAGAGAAGATATTCTTGTAAATACTGCTTATAATGCAGTAAAAATCACGTAAATATTAAAATTTACTAGTTTTCGATCTCAACTTTTAAATTTTAAAACATAAATATGCAAAATATTAAGGTTTTAAGCTGTATAATCTACTTAAATACATAAACTGCAATTCAGGAATTAAGGAATTCACAACCTTATTTTTAAAAAGCTAAATTAATTTGCATAAAATATAGATTCCTATATTAAAATAAACAATTTATTTATAATTAATACAAACAAAATATAAATTATTTAACTACTGTAAAGCCTCAATTTTTTAATGGTCTTATGTACTGTACAATACAGCTTTCATACTGCAACTCATTTATTATTATAATTTTACTTAAAGTTATAATTAGTATACTATAATTATAAAATGTAAAGTATTTTGTGTAAGATAAATAAGTTACATGTTTATATTTCCTTTTAAACATTTATTTATCATTATAATTTCTCTGCGAAAGATTAAAGTTCTCCATTAAAAAAGTTTGCTTTGATAGTAATATAAGAGGAAAGTTTTCAATTTTAAAACTAAAAATATCTTTAAAATTTGAATAAAATGAGGAAATTTTAAAAATGAAAAATGATTTTAAGTAAAAGCTTCAATGAATAAAATTACTTTTCTAAAAGTATCACATGTTCCAGAATGGATTAAAACAGATCAAATGACACTGATTTTAAATATAAAGGATTCTTAAATTTATAAATCTTTGAATAAACATTTTATAAGAGATCAATTTAAAGTAATTTTTATGATGATTTTAATTCTTTTGTCATTTATTTTCAAAGATCAAATCAAAAACGTCAACAACAATTCTTAACATAATTATCATTTTTCTTTTTAAAGTCTCATAAATACAAAAATATATTTTATAATCAATTAAAAATTAATTAACTACTGCTTAAAAATAAATTTTTAATTACTAAAATGTAAAAGTTTTCAAATTTTATGTTCAAGTATAGGCATACATTTCTTTAATTGAGTTAATGAAGCATTTTAATAAAAATAATAATTTTATTAAGATTTAAAATGTTTATACTTAATTTTTAAGCTGTAAATTAATAGAATTAAATTAATTTTAATTTAGTTATGTATGGAATAACTTAAAAAGTATTTTTTATAATTTTTTTTTAATCGAAATTAGTACATGATAATTAGGATCTAATTGAGATTTGTTATGCCTCTAAAGCAGTGTTCAGCAAACTTGCCTCAAGTGTTCCACAAAAAAAAACTAATTTTTAAACGTTTTTATTGCAAATTTATTCCAATTTTCTACAACATATTACTTTATTCATAGACAATTCCGTGCTTCTATTTTATTCAATACAATAAAGTTTATTATTTTATTGCTTCATTGTGTCGTGAGAATAGTAAACACGAAATTGCTTATCGATTTTTGAATATATTGATACTAATGCTCCGTGTAATAAAAAGTATATGAATGATGTTCCCCGGCCTCAGAAAGATTAAGAACTACTGCTCTAAACTATAATACATAAGATCTTACCTCTACTAAATAGTTATAAAGTTAAAAACACGAGGCCCTAAACTGGCCTTAATTATAATGTATTTAGCAATTCTGATATATTTAGCAATTTTATTGTTAGTTAGTATATTATAATTAGGGCTGCATTTAGACTTCTTGCTCTAAGTTGTATAAGATGCATCATTAGCAAGTAGTAATAAATTTAAAAGCACAAGGCCCTAAACTATAGCTTATTTATCTTATATATAAATTTGCTGATTTTTATGAGAAATTTTCTAATAATATAAGTATAAAATTGCAAATAATTTGTAAGAAAATCAAGAATAATTTTGAATTCTTAACAAAATTGAACTATTTCACTGTTACATTAATTAATATAAGCCAAGAAAATCTAATGTAGTAAGTCAGAACAGTAAAATTGAAAAGAGGAAAAGAAAATCTTTGTTCAACAACGTCTAATTCTTATCTTTCGTCTTTCTTCTCTTGGGACTTTGGAAATCGAATCCTTTTCCAAGACTAACGACTGTTAAAAGTAAACACGAATTGATTTAATTATCCTTACTCTATTTTGTACAATTAATTTTAATAGTATTAATGTAATCATTTCGACATCACTTATACTTTTTAAAGTTTATTCTAAGATTTACACTAAGGTTTCTAAGGTAAAATTTGTTTCGATGTTTTGATTAATTTTTTAAAAAATTTAATTTAAAGCTTAAAATGTATAATGTTTGTAGAGTTAAAAAAACACATGAATATAGTTTTACACATATATTTAGCATTGAGGTAATTACTTTCAAATTATTTTTACTACTAATTTAAATAATTTATATTCTAATTTAGTGAAAACAAAGCTTGAGTCTCATGACTTCTGTTTATAAACGAGTCATTTAAATTTTGTGTAATGTTTATAGAGGAATACCTTTTATTTCCTATTCGTTTGGGAGTTGTTTCACTTAGAATCTTGAGGAGCTTCATTAAGAAAGAATTAGAGCGTAGACTTCAAATGCAAATTTTTGCTTCTCTCGATCGACATTAAATTGGGAAAACGTTTGTCATTGTAACTAAAGGAATTGTTTTTTGTTTTTTTTATATAAACTTTTTTTTTCTAAACGTTGATTTTAGATAGGAATCTCTTATCATCTACTCCTATGCACAATGCAAAGATAATATACTTTACTTTGTTCTTTATCTCCTCCTGACACAACGGTAAACGTTTAGTTTAATTGAAGAAAAGTTTTATAGAAAAACGATTTTCATCTTTGCTTGAAAAGAAAATAAGAATTTCTGTTATCCAACCTCCTCCCACTCTTTCGCAATTTTTAATTAAACTTTGAATAACGCTTTTTCTAGAATTTGTTTATATGCAACGGGTTTTATACAGGATTTGCTTTATAAAAGAAATTAAACAATAGTTTTGATGAGTTTTAGAAATAGGAGTGAATGAGGATTTACTCAGATCCTACTTATCTCGCCAGGTTTGTTTCCAATAGTCTTTTCTTCTTCTTAATACTTGTAAAAGAAATATCACAGTCCCAGGACAGATTAATCTTCAACGACTTCCAACGACTAATTTAGGGAAAGGTGACAGAGTAATCTTTATATCCGGAATCACATTCGTTGCTCTCAAAACACCCATTCATCAAAATCTTTATATATCTCTTCACACTTTTTAGTGATTAAAAAAAAAGGATAATGTTAGCACTTCGTTCGTCCGGATGTCCGTATTTGTTTGATGAATATCTCGTAAACTATTTGACGTGAACATTTGAAATTTTTAACAAGATTTTATAGACTAAATCTTCCTTCACGTGCTAAAATTTTTTCTTGGTTAAACTAAGAGATTATATAAAATTTTGATTTGTCTTTGTATAACATTGAAATTACGTTTAAGCATTAGGTGGGTTGGTTTGTGCACAAGTATGTACAGCATAAAGTAATTTAAAGACGTGTTTTCTAATATAAACAGAAAAGTATACTTAAAAATTAAATTTTACATGATTCAGCATATTTTATTCAATTTAAAAGTTGTAGTGAAGGCCTTAAAATAGCTATTTACGTTCGAATACGATTAAAAACGAGAATTTTTGTGAAAGAACCATGATATAAATAAAATTTCGTTTAATTTATACTTAAATTGAAAATAATAGGCTTTGTATTTTATGTAAGTGTAAGAATCTAAATTTTAACAATTATTCCTCACAGAACGTCCCGAAGTTACGGTGGATTCGGTACAGCCGCTGGATTCAAGAACGGCACTCCTGAAATGGCACCTACGCTATCGAACCAATTCACCAGTCAAACATTTTCATCTCCAAGTGAAGAACTTTAGTACCGGTGTTGATTGGTTGGATGTCGATGACAAGATCCCTCCGAACGCAACTAACTATACAGTCAGGTACTTGGCACCAGCCATGACTTATGGCTTCCAACTGGCAGCCGTTAACGATCTCGGATCCAGCAAATGGGAAGTTATGAATGTCACCATGCCTGCCGACGGTAATTTATACTTTTCATATTAATCGCTTCTTTTTTCTCCTCTACACTATTATAAGCATGTATCGTAAATAGTTCTGAAGCCATTTTCTATAGAATGATCCTCGTTTGGTCAACCAAGAATCGTATTGCTGTATTATAAGAGAAGGGGAGAAAATATTTTCCCACTGCTGAATTTTTACCTTCTTTTTATAGATTTTTCTTTGAGTATAAAACATATTCTTTTGATGGAAATTCCACAATATAATTGTTATGAATTAAATATGGCACATCTACGGTATATGTATATATATATATATATATATATACTTGACAACAGAATAACTTAATTATTATTTTTTTATAAAT